TTGGGAGGAAAGCGGCGAAGGTGAAGAGAGGGAGTAATTCTACCAAGAATGCATCTAAATTTTTGGAGGACATTTCAAAGCACCAAGCCATGAGGATTGAAATGGATATGAAACAACAAGAGCATGATATGGCAATTCAACTAGAATATGCAAAAGAAAGGGAGTATATACGCAAAGAAAAAGAGTATGTACGCCAAGAAAACATTGAAAAAAAGGATCGGGAAACCATGGCCATGAATACAAGCCATATGTCCTCTGAATCAAAACAATTTTGGAAGCTAGAACGAAGGGATGTTATGAGACGAAAGCTTTTTCGTGACGATGGACCTAGCAACACGGATTGGTTAAATGATCAAAACCATTAAGTTAGTTTGCTTGCCTTTCATTTCATTGTATTTTTTTTTTGTTTAATAAATTAGTGGTAATTCATGTATTTTGTTTTCTTAGTTGTATCTGAAATTTGAATTTTGAAATGTATCTGAAATTTGAAATTCAAAATTTATCTGAAATGTGAAACCAAAAATCTTATCTGATATGAATAGTATTGACACGTAGGAACCCAAAAATCTTACCCGAAAATATTATCCAAAATAATTGTTTAAGTAAAAAAAAATTGTGAAAAAAACAAAAAAAATGAATAGTAGTTGCCATGGCAAGGGTTTGACTGCTGGAAACACACATAGCTAAAAAAGGCAAGGGCAGCCACTATTTTTTTGTTTTGTTTAATAAATTAGTGGTAATTCATGTATTTTGTTTTCTTAGTTGTATCTGAAATTTGAATTTTGAAATGTATCTGAAATTTGAAATTCGAAATTTATCTGAAATTTATCTGAAATGTGAAACCAAAAATCTTATCTGATATGAAAAGTATTGACACATAGGAACCCAATAATTGTTTAAGTAAAAAAAAATTGTGAAAAAAACAAAAAAAATGAATAGTAGTTGCCATGGCAAGGGTTTGACTGCTGGAAACACACATAGCTAAAAAAGGCAAGGGCAGCCACTATTCACATGAATAGTGTCAGCCCGACTGCTGGAAATGCTCTAAGGAACAAAAGCCGCCAAAAATTATCTTGAGAAAATGATTATTCCGAAAAACTATTTTTCATACTTAGTCAATATTGCACCTCCGCTAAAAAATTTCTGGGTCCGCCAGTGTATATATGTGTGTGTGTTGCAAAAACAAACCAGCTTAATGGTCTTATTATGTCACTTTGTTTCCCTAATAATTAACATGAAAATTCTGAAACCATAGTTGCATTCCCTCCAAGTTTCAGCCAAGATGACACCAATATAGCAACAGATAAAAAGCGCATGCAGATGCTCACACCAATATTATAACCAAAACTCAAATTATCATATTTTTTTTTTGTCTGAACCATGAGGTGGTCCTGGATGGGCCTCAACTATGGGTGGCACCTTTAAGCCTTAACCACAACCCAGACTAATCCCCACTCACACTGCGTCGGCCCGTAAGGGGTAAAGTGTTGGCCAAAGTGGTGACTCCGTACGAGAGCAGAGATCGAACCTCTGACCTCTCTTAAGAAATGAGAGTGCCGAACCACTCACACTAACCACCTTGGTTAACTC